GAAATCTTTTTCCTCCTGCGACAGTGGTGGGGAGGGAGGTGTCAGATGGTGAGTCATTCAGGGAAGCTCAAATCTAACCCATAAAGATTCCAGATTAGCAACATCTCTTCCCTCTCCACTGCCTTAGAACATTGCCACTTACCCCCGCATCCCTCAAACACACCCACTGCCCCCACCCAGGCCCCTGAACCCAACCAACCTGCTTATTCTCCTAGACTCCTCCTTTGGCTTAGCTTCCACAAGAGCCCTGAAGAATTTTCCTTAATGTGGATCTGACTCCATCCCTCCCCTGTTCAAAACTACTCTGTGCCTTACAATGAAATATTACTTTGCCATAACAAGGAACCAGGTACTGATATGTGCTCCACATGGATGAACCTTGAAACATTATACAATGTGAAATAAGCCCAATGTAGAAGAAGGTCATATATTACATGATTTCATTTATATAAAATAGCCAGAAGAGACAAATTCATAGAGAGAGAAAGTAGATTGGTGGTTGCCAGGGGCTGGGGGAAGGAGACAGGAGAAAGAAGTGACTTGCTTAAGGGTCTGGGGTTTCCTTTGGGGATGAAAAAAGTTCTAGAAATAGATAGTGGTGATGGCTGCACAACATTGCCAATATATTTAATGTCTGAATTGTACATTTTAAAATAGTTCAGGGGTGCCTGGGTGGCTCAGTGGTTGAGCATCTTTGGTGTCTAAAACTCTCAACTCAAAAAATAAAATAAAATAAAAAATAACAAAAAAAATAATTAAAAAAATAAAAATTAAATTAAAAAACCTCTCAACTCCATGGCTTTGAAAGATCCAAAGTTAACCCATAATTTCTTTTTCATTTATATAAATGCTTTTTTTTTAATTTCCTCACATTTGTTCTACACCAAGACCTCCTGAAGACATTTTTGAGGTTTAATCTTTACAGAAGTCTGGCTCCTTGCCAATGTGGACTTGGTCCAGTAATGCTGACATCAACTGGGAGTTTGTTAGAAATGTAGAATCCAGGGGGTGCCTGGATGGCTCAGTTGGTTAAGCATCCAACCTTGATTTTGGCTCAAGTCATGATCTCAGGGTCATGAGATTGAGCCCCATGTATGGCTCTGTGCTGAGGGTAGAGTAGAGTTTGCTTGAGATTTTCCCTCCCTCCTTCTCCCTCTGCCCCTCCCCCCTCCACCATGCACACTCATGCTCTCTCTCTTGCTCTAAAAAAAAAAGAAAAAGAAAGAAATGCAAAGTCTCAAACCTGCTAAATCAGAATCCTTATTTTAATAAGATCCCCAGGTGGGGGTGGCTGGGTGGCTGTCGGTGACACCTCTGCCTTCTGCTCAGGTCATGATCTCAGGGTCCTGGGATTGAGTCCTGCATCAGAGTCCGTGCTCAGTCTTCTTCTCCCTCTACCCTTCCCCCCTGCTTATCCTCCCTCTCTCCTTGTCTCTCTCAAATAAAAAAATAATAAATAAATAAATAAATAAATAAATAAATAAATAAATAAATAATCTTTTTTAAAAATCCCTAGGTGATTCATGTACAATTAGAGTTTGAGAAGCACTGGGCTTGGTTGCCTGGGTGGCTCAGTGGTTGAGTGTCTGCTTTTGGCTCAGGGGGTGATCCTGGAGCCCTGGGATCCAGTCCCTCATCGGGCTCCCCACAGGGAGCCTGCTTCTCCCTCTGCCTATGTCTCTGCCTCTCTCTGTTTGTGTGTGACTCTCATGAATAAATAAGTAAAAATCTTAAAAAAAAAAAAAGCACTAGGCTTATGATTTTGAGATTGTACCCACTAATGGTCACTAATCTCAATCCCACTCCTTAAGCAACCTCAAAAGCTATATTCTTTGTGTATTGTGAGTGCAGCTATATTGTGAGTCCAGAAAGCATTACTGGCTCTCACGATGCCTCCCCTCTCCTTTGAGCATATCTGTCCCATCCCTGCTTCTAGTAGCAACACAGTTGGACTGGTAGACTTGCAGAGGCCACAGTAGGTAGTGAAAGTAGGAAAATTGAAGTAGGTCACATTTGAGGATCAGAGCCCAAAACCTCACCTCTGAGATTCCCATTTTACATAAGTTATGTAAGGCCTTGTCCTGAGTCCTATTTCTTGGTGAGCCTTCAGAGGTTTGGAATGAAGGTAAAGTGACTCTTCCAGGGTCACACTGCTAGTGAGATGGTGGGGTACAGGGGGTGGGGGAAGAGAGACACCTGGGGGATCTCCACGTTGCACCGCTGTCCCTGGAAAGTCAGCAGGGACTCCGCCATGCCTCTTCTTCATGTTGCTGGCATGCACAGAAACACTCACCAACTCCCTGCTCCCTATGGGAGCCACTGATTTTTATGACTCCTGGTGGAATAACATTCCCAATGCCCTGTCTCCCGCTTGGTGTCAAATATTTTATCCTCCTAATCAATCTAGACCAATAATAATAATTTAAAAATTATTTTAAATAATTTCCCAACCCCTGCAATCAAGCATTCTATACTTTTTATTTAAAAGTGAGGAAGGAAAAAAAATAAAGTGAGGAAGGTATTACCATTTCATAGAATTCCTTCCCCACGTTCTTCTCCCACCCACCCACCCATCCCCACTTTTTTCTGCATTCCTTTTCTCAGGCAAAGTGATCTAGCCTCAGGCACCTGGGTGGCTCAGGGGTTGAATGTCTATCTTTGGCTCAGGGTGTGATCCCGGAGTCCTGGGATCAAGTCCCCCATTGGGCTCCTCACAGGGAGCCTGCTTCTCCCTCTGCCTATGTCTCTACCTCACCTCTCTCTGTGTCTCTCATGAATAAGTAAAAATAAAATCTTTAAAAAAAATTATTTAGCCAGCACTGCTCATAGGCTGGACATAGCTTTAAGGTCTTATTTTCATTCCAAGTAGTTTAACAAAATCCATATTTTTCTTCTCCAAATACTATGCCCTCTCTTAGGTAACATCTCCATCTTGGGTCATATAAAATGTTAGATGTATGTGTGATTCATTCATTATATAGCTAATCAGATATAATGGGGGGAGGGGTACATTTCAGGCACCGTTCTAGTTGTTGGGAAGAAAATGGTGATCGGAACTATTTGAGCTGAACTGGATTGCCTCCCCAGGGCAACTGACACTGTTCATTGGTTTTATCTGTTATTGAATTTCATTGAAATGTAATTATACAGAACACACTTTTTAATATTTGGCTTCTCTTGCCTAATATGATACCCGTATGGGGCGTCTGGGTGGCTCAGTTGATTGAGCATGTGCCTTTACCTCAGGTCATGGTCCCAGAGTTCTGGGATGGAGTCCTCAACAGGGAGTCTGCTTCTCCCTGCCTGCCACTCCCCGTGCTTTTGCTATCTCTCAAATAAATAAATAAATAAATAAATAATAAATAAATAAAATCTAAAACACACACACACACACACAAAACATTATGCCCATAGGATTTATCCATATTATTTCTTATAGCTGTGGTTTGTTTCTCCTTATTGTTAAAGGCACTGAAATCAGGCTTCCTGGTTTTAGCTCAAGGCACCCTAAGTGAAGTAATACTGCTTTGACTGCCCTCCCCAAATCATTAAATCCCTATACCAGGCAGTTTGGGCTTACCTATGCCACAGTGAGAAATGAGCCCTCTATCTTCCTGATTTACAGCAGTTCTGTTACCATATTGAGCCTGTTAGCCCTGGCTACATCTATATTCTCATTCCTGGTCCCAGGCAGGAAAAAGTCTGTATCAGTTTCTTTTCTTCTTCTTCTCCTTTTTTTTTTTCCCCAAGATTTTATTTATTCATTCATGAGAGGCACAGAGAGAGGGAGAGAGAGGCAGAGACACAGGCAGAGGGAGAAGCAGGCTCCATGCAGGGAGCCCGACGCGGGACTCGATCCTGGGACTCCAGGATCACGCCCTGGGCCAAAGGCAGGCGCTAAACCGCTGAGCCACCCAGGGATCCCCCTGTATCAGTTTCTTTTTTTTTTTAAAGTTTCTTTTTTTAAAAAAAATTTATTTATTTATGATAGTCACACACACAGAGAGAGAGAGGCAGAGACACAGGCAGAGGGAGAAGCAGGCTCCATGCAGGGAGCCCGATGTGGGATTCGACCCCGGGTCTCCAGGATCGCGCCCTGGGCCAAAAGCAGGTGCCAAACCGCTGCGCCACCCACTGCCCACCTGTATCAGTTTCTTACGCTGCTATAACTAACACCACTACGCACTTTGAGTATTTTACAGTTTTGGAGGTCAGAAGTCCAAAAAGGGGCTAAAGTCAGGGCGTCAGCAGGCTGTTCCTTGAGAGGCTCCAGGTGAGAATCCATTTCCTTGCCTTTTCCAGCCAGTCATCATATCCCTCCTTCCTCTGCTTCCATCTCTCTTGCCTCTGACCCTGGTCATCACGATGACACTGAGCCCACCCTTGGATGTGGATTATCCCATCCCCTGGATGTGGATAATCCAGGACCCCGTCTCAAGAGCCTTACATTTAATCACACCTGCAAAGTCTCCTTTGCTACTTAACGTAACATTTCAGAGATTGGGGGATTGGGACACAGATGTCTTTGGGGGACCATTATACTGTTTACCCTGCAGTCCCTTTCTGTGCCCACGAAAAGAGAAAACAGCAGGCCCCTGCAAGTAAGGTTCTTAATGCTTCTACCTGGAAGAGAGGTTGGCTACATTTGCCCACACTGCAGGGTTGCGTGCTCAGGGGCCGTCTCCCAGAGCAGGTGCCCTATCCAAGTCCCATGCCAACAGAGAGGAGGTCTAATCCTCCCACGAGGAGGGGCCAGTAGCTAGCTGGATAATACTCCAAGGGACCAGGGGCAGGGGAGAGGCAAGGGAAACAGCAGGAAAGATGAAGGAGGGAGTGTCCTCTTGGCCAGGGAGCCGGGAAGAGGGAGCAGAAGTGAAAGTCTTTCTCATGGTGGAATGGCTCCTGGGATTTCCTAATGTGACCAACTTCCTCTTCTTGGAAGGGGAACACCCACTGGCGCGTTGCGGGGCTGGGCAGGCGTCACCCGAGCGTGACGAAGCTCTATTTCGCCACCAGGGCTTTCCTGTCGGGCTCCTGCAGCCTCGCGCGGAGGCCTGCGGTGGGCCTGCGGGGCCGGGGCCGGGGCCGGGACGCTGGCACCGCGGACACACCCTGGGCTCCGCTTCCGCCCTGCGGGGTGCACGGCGCCCCCATGCCCCGCGCCCGGCCCAGCAGCGGCCTCTGTCGCCTCTCCGCCTACCTGGAAGAGCTGGAGGCGGTGGAGCTGAAGAAGTTCAAGCTGTTCCTGGGCACCGAGGCGGAGGCGGGCCGGATCCCCTGGGGGCGGCTGGAGGCGGCGGGGCCCCTGGACACGGCGCAGCTGCTGGTGGCACACTGCGGGCCCGACGCGGCCTGGCCGCTGGCGCTGGGCCTCTTCCAGCGCATCAACCGGCGGGACCTGTGGGAGAAGGGCCGGAGAGAGGAGCCGGTGAGGGGTAAGGAGGCCACCGGCCGCCGGCCCTGCGGGGGCCACCACCACGCGCAGGAACCCCGAACCCCGAACCCCGGTGCTAGCTGCTGCCCTTGCCGCGCTCGCGCCGCGCTCTGCCTTCGGGCCACGGCGCCCTCGCTGCCGCACTTGCCCCCAGAACTGCCGCTTCGCCACCCAAACCCTGGAGGCACTTCGTCGGGCGCTGGTGCTGTCCTCCCGCACTGGGCCTGGCCCTCGCCCTCAACCACCCTGGCTGCCTTCTGCTGCGCCCCGATCTCTCCCTGCTCTCCCTGATCTCTCTACTGTGTCTTCTGTGCCGTGAGAGAATCACGATGCTGCTAACACCGACCCCCTCCTCTAACGCGGCGTCCACTGCGCGGAATGCCGCGCTCTGCGTCCTAAGTGCTGTGTGACCCACATTGTAATGATCACACCTGTTCTAGAGGTAAGACAACGCAGAGGCTCAGGAGGCCTGGGTGGCTCAGTGGTTGAGCATCTACCCGAAAGACCCTGGTTTGTAGCATTTGCTAATTTCCAAGGTCTAAATACTCCAGGAAGAGCTGATTTGAACTTACCAATGTGGTGTAGACTTGCTTGTAATCATAGAAATTTAGCGGCATAATCTCTTGTCCTGGTGAGGTGTGATGACAAGAGGCCTCCTTAGGCCGGGTTCCAGGTGGCTCCTTCTCTCCTCTCTCCATCCTCGGATAGCACTGGAGAGGCATCCGACTGTGGGAGTATGAAACTGCCTTACATCTTCACATAAGAGAATCAAAGTGCGGGACGCCTGGGTGGCTCAGCAGTTGAGCATTTGCCTTTGGCTCAGGGTGTGATCCTGGATTTCGGGGATCGAGTCCTGCATCGGGCTCCTCGCATGGAGCCTGCTTCTCCTTCCTCTGCCTGTGTCTCTGCCTCTCTTTCTGTGTCTCTCATGAATAAATAAATAAAATAAATCAAAGTGCTATCAGCAATAAAGACAAAAGGATAAGTATGTTCATTTATGATCTCATATCATTGTTTTACTTATAGAAGTTCTAAATACTTCTTGTAGGAGATTCAAATAATATCCTTAATAAGTATTAAGTCCCCACCCTTCTCACATTGCTCCTAAACCTTTCCCCAGCATTATAACTGATAACTTTGGTGAGCATCCTTCACCAGACTGTGTCCTTTCAGTTCATCAAAAGGCAGCCCCATGGGCTGAAGCACAGCTTTTTTTCAGCTGTGTGATCCTGGAGAATCAGTGTACATCTCTGGGCCTCTGTTGTCTCATCAGTAAGACAAAGGGATTGGACCAGCACAGTGGTTCTTGCATGTTAATGTGCTGGGAATCATCCAGACACCTTGCTATAAAAGTAGAATCCAAAACCCCATGGTAGAGATTCTGATTCAGCAGGTTTGGGGCACCAGGAATCTGCATTTGGACTGGATGTGGGTGGCGCTCGTGGCATACTTCAGAAAACACTAAGTTGGAACATCTCTGAATGAAGTCTTTTGTCAGCTGTAATATTCACTGATTACTTTTTTTAAATTGTGGCAAAATACACATAACAAAATTATAAATGAATTGAATTATTCTAGATATGTCATAGAAGTAGAATCATAGGGGATCCCTGGGTGGCGCAGCCGTTTGGCGTCTGCCTTTGGCCCAGGGAGCGATCCTGGAGACCTGGGATCATCAAGTCCCGCATCGGGCTCCCTGTGTGGAGCCTGCTTCTCCCTCTACCTGTGTCTCTCTTTCTCTCATTCTCTATGTCTATCGTGAATAAATAAATAAAATCTTAAAAAAATAAAAAAAAGAAGAAGTGGAATCATAGAGTATCTTTTTGTGACTGGCTTATTTCACATAGCATGATGTTTTCAGGATTCATCCACACTGTAGCATATGTCAGTGTTTTCTTCCTCTTTAAGGCTGAATAATATTCCATCATGTGGAGAATACATACACTAATATATATATATTACATTTTAATTCGTTCATCTCTCTCTCTCTCTTTTTTAAAGATTTATTTACTTATTTATTTATTAGACACAGAGAGAGAGAGGCAGAGACATAGGCAGAGGGAGAAGCAGGTTCCCTGCAGGGAGCCCGATGCACGACTCAATCCCAGGACCCCAGGATCATGACTTGAGCTGAGGCAGCCGCTCAACCACTGAACCACTCAGATGCCCTATCTCTCTCTTTTTTAAAGATTTTATTTATTTGAGAGAAACAGAGAGAGCACAAATATGGGAGGAGGGTCAGAGGGAGAGGGAGAAGCAACTCCACCTAATAGGGAGCCCCACATGGGACTCGATCCCAGGACCCTGGGATCATGACCTGTGCCAAAGGCAGACATTCAACCAATTGAGCCACCAGATGCCTCAATTCATTCATCCCTTGATGAGCATTTGAGTTGCTTCTACCTTTTCGTTATTGTAAATAATGCTATTGTTAACACAGATGTACAACTATCTCTTCAAGTTCTGCTTTCAATTATTCTGAATATATACTTGGAAATGAAATTGTTGGATCCACTAGTAATTCTATTTTATTTTTTTTTAAGATTTTATTTATTTATGCATGAGAGACCAGAGAGAGAGAGAGAGAGGCAGAGCCACAGGCAGAGGGAGAAGCAGGCTCCATGCCCGGAGCCTGACGTGGGACTCAATCCTGGGTCTCCAGGATCACGCCCTGGGCTGAAGGTGGCACCAAACCACTGAGCCACCGGGGCTGCCCCAGTAATTCTATTTTAATATTTTAAGGAGCAGTGTTTTCCATAGTGGCTGCACCATTTTACATTCCCACTACGGAAGCACAAGGATTCCAATTTTCCCACAACCCCCACCAACACTTGTTATCTGCAGGTTTGGGGGCTTTTTCTTTATGGAAAAAAAAAAAAGAAAAAGAAAGAAAACAAAACGAAAACCAACTCTATGCCTGACGTGGGGCTTGAACTTATCACCCTGAGATCAGGAGTCCCGTGCTCCAACAACTGAGCCAGCCAGGTGCCCCCTCTGTTATGTTTGTGGTCTACTTCTGCTAGGAAGACTAGCCAAGTGGGGAGCCTGTCCCACCAGGTGGGGGCATACCTGCCAGAGCACTGGAACTCACAGGTAGGCTTGCACTTTAGGGTCCTGTGAAGCTCAAAGATGTCCAGGAAGCACTTGGGATTTTTTTTTTTTTTTTTTTTATGATAGTCACAGAGAGAGAGAGAGAGAGAGAGGCAGAGACACAGGCAGAGGGAGAAGCAGGCTCCATGCACTGGGAGCCCGACGTGGGATTGGATCCCGGGTCTCCAGTATCGTGCCCTGGGCCGAAGGCAGGCGCTAAACCGCTGCGCCACCCAGGGATCCCAGCACTTGGGATTCTTGACCTTACAATGCATCCGCAGAAAAGCCTTTCCTGGTCACCCAAACTAAAATACTACTTTCAACCGCTCTGTCACGTACACTTGTTTTAGACACAACTTTCATCATTATCTGAAGTTATACAAAGTGTTTATTATTTTTAGAAATTCAACTCCCCATGCCAAAAGTATGTAAGGTCCACGGAGCAGAGACCTTGTTTATTGCTGTGTTTCCAATGCAAGCAAAATTTGCCTGGATAACACTGGTGCCAGTGATGCTTGGAGAGGTGGGTGGATGAGACCTGACCAAGGACTGGAGGGAGGGAATTCAAGCTAACTCACAACTTCCTGCCTGAGGGGATTTGTTGGATGGACCGAGGTGCCAATCACCATGATGTGTACCCAGGAAGGAGAGTGGGTTATGATGAACAAGTGTTTTCAGCAGTGCTGCATGTGAGGTGACCGCCAATCATTCGGGGTGTGGGTGGGCAGACAGTTATCATGTAGACAGTTTGATGTAATAGTAACTAATATGTTTTAAATTGACATATAAGTTATATTCATTTCAGGTGTGCAAAGTAGCTATTATTATTGAGAGCTAGCCAGGTATATGCTAGCTGATCTCCTAAAATGTCTCTTCCAGATACTCCACCTGGTGACCCATCCTCACTGGGGAGCCAGTCAGCATGTTCTCTGGAAGTCTTTCCTGGAGCTCTAAGAAGAGGTGAGCCATGAGCCATGTATCTTGCAGACTGCACAAGGCTACACACACCAGACTATTCAACAGAGTAGATCAAGAAAAAAAAAAAAAAAAGATATTTATTTAATGTTTGCCTATAACAAGAGATCTTGACCTGGGTGGTTGCAGAGTTTATGTAACAGATTAACAACACTGTCAAAGCCCCAACATCTTGCTGTTTCATTTGTCCTAAGACTTGTCACCTCATGGTTGCATGTTGGCAACCGAACCACGCAAGTGACTTCCAAGCAGGGGAGAAAAGAGAGACAAAAAGGCTTTCTTCCTCAAGAGAGAATCATTTTATTCAGGAATAAAATCCTTTCAATAAGCTTACTCCTTCTCAGTGGTCATCTCTGTGTTCCTCATTGGTCAGGACTGGGGCACATTCCCAGACCAGCCGCTGGCAACAAGGAATGAGATTGCTCACGAATGGTTTAGCCAAACTGTTCTTCATCCTCTGGGGCTTGTGAAAGGACAGCATTCACTGGAATCAAGGGATCAGCACCCATTACCTTAATAGAATCAGGATTGTTGGCAAAGAAGAAATGACTGTGGGCTGCTGGAAAGACGGCACCACTGTTAACTATAATACAAATAGGGGATCCCTAGGTGGCTCAGCGGTTTGGCTCCTGCCTTTGGCCCGGGGCGCAATCCTGGAGTCTTGGGATCGAGTCCCACGTCGGGCTCCCGGCGTGGAGCCTGCTTCTCCCTCTGCCTGTGTCTCTGCCTCATTCTCTCTCTCTCTCTCTCTCTCTGTGTGTGTCTATCATGAATAAATAAAATAAACAAATATTTAAAAAAAACTATAATACAAATAATTCTGGACACCTTTCAAGGCATCTTAATGCACTGGGCATAGCACATGGTCAATATATGGTAACTCCATCTTTATTCTCATCATTATGTTAAGCTTTTCTAGTTTCCAAATATTCCCTGTGTCTCAAAATAAGAACACTTTCTCCCCAGGAAAAGACTAAGACTTTCACAAAATCCGAATATTACTGTCCCAATTATCTTTGTTCAACTGAAAAATGCTTTCTACATGAAATAGAATCACAGCTGACAAAAGAGAAGTACAATTGACATATTTATGAACCTAGTATTAGTATTTATCAATACACATTAAGGGAGCTAATAAAATAATTTTATCAACCGATGAATGGATAAACAGAATATGGTGTGTATATATATATACATGTATATATGTATGTATACATGTATATACATATATATACATACAATGGAATATTATTCAGACTCAAAGAGGAATGAAATTCTGATACTTGCTACAGCATGAGCATACTTTGAAAACATGATGCTAAGTCAAATGCGTCAACATAAAAAGACAGATATGGTGTGATTCCTCTTACATGAAGTACCTAAAGTAGACGTGAGACAGAAAGTGGAACAGTGGCTGCCAGGGGCTGGGTAGGGGAAGGAATAAGGAGTTAGTGCTTAGTAGGCATACAGTTTCTGTTGAGGATGAGGAAAGTTCTGGAAATGGATAGTGGTGATGATTACATAGCTTTGTGAATGCACATGATGTCACCAAATCCATCAAACACTTAAAAATGGTAAAAATGCTAAGTTTTACGTTACATATATTTTACTATAATTAAAAATAAAAGAAGTACATGCATTCTTTTCGAGAGAGTCCTGGGCTCAAATTTAGATCTCTTTTTAAACCTTCCTTTGGCCAGATTTTTTTTTTTTAAGATTTTATTTATTTATTCATGAGAGACACACAGAGAGAGGTGGGGATATATGCAGAGGGAGAAGCAGTTTCCCTGCAGGCAGCCTGATGTGGGACTTGATCCTGGAACTTCAGGATCATGTCCTGAGATGAAGGCAGATGCTCAGCTGATGAACCACCCAGGTGTCCCCCTTTGACCAGATATTACAGGCCTCTGGTTACATCCAAATACAAAAGGATACATTTTTCTCTGGAGCAGGGTTCCTCCACCTGGGCACCATTGGCAATTTGGGCTGGATCATTCTTTATTGTGGGGTGTCCTGGGCACTATAGGATGTTGAATAGCATCCCTGGCCTCCACCCACTAGATGGTAGTAGCCTGCCCCTCACCCTTATTTGTTACAGCCAAAAATATCTCCAGACCTTACCAGAAATGCCCTGGGGGACGTGTGTGTACACACAATCACCTTGGTGAGCACTGCTGTTCTAGATTATGCATTCACTTCTATACCAAGTAGATTTCCCTAAGAGACTTTAAACACAGGACTTATAGAACGAGTAAGTTCTCTAAACTACTTTCTCAAACTTTTTTTTTTTTAAGATTTAATTTATTCATGGGAGACACAGAGAGAGGTACAGACATAGACAGAGGGAGAAGCAGGATCCCTATGTGGAGCCCTATGTGGGACTCGATCCGGAGACTCTGGGATCACAAACCCAAGCCAAAAGCAGATGCTCAACCACTGAGCCACCCAGGTGCCCTGCCTTCTCACACTTAAATGTGTATGCAAATCATAAAGCAGTCTTGTTAGAAATGTGGTTTCTGATTCAGTAGGTGGGTAGTGGGGCTCACTTTTGCATTTCCCACCAGCATCTTGTGAGCCCACATGGGATTTCAGTGTCTCTTCACCGGGAGGACCCAAGAGAACCAGTGGCAGAGACTGACACATTCCTCTAGGTGCCCTTATGGTCTTCCAGCAGCTCCTGGGCGTGGGCCCCCTTTGAGTAGCAAGAATAGTGCCTCAGGACAGTCCTCATGTTAGTACCTCTGCTTCTCAAGAAAAGGGAAGATCTTTATAGAGAAATACCAAAGTTCCCAGGCTCCATCCAGAAAACTGTCCCAAGGATATTGCAGAACAAATAGACACTAGACTGAGGTTTGCTTTAACTCACGAATCCGTGCACGATTGCTGACGAGTCTCCCACGGACCCCTCATTCCTCTCGGTTAGATCCCCGGGAAACGTACAGGGACTATGTTCGCAGGAAGTTCCGGCTGATGGAAGACCGCAACGCACGCCTAGGAGAATGCGTCAACCTCAGCCAGAGGTACACCCCCCTCCTCCTGGTGAAGGAACACTCAAATCCCATGTGGGCCCAGCAGAAGCTTCTGGACACAGGCCGGGGGCAGGCGAGAACCGTGGGACACCAGGCCAGCTTCATCCAGATGGAGACCCTCTTCGAGCCCGACGAGGAGCGCCCCGAGCCGCCGCGCACCGTGGTCCTGCAGGGAGCAGCGGGGATGGGCAAGTCCATGCTGGCCCACAAGGTGATGCTGGACTGGGCCGACGGGAGGCTCTTCCAGGACAGGTTTGATTACCTCTTCTACATCAACTGCAGGAAGATGAACCAGAGCACTGAGGAGCAGAGCGCCCAGGATCTCATCTCCAGCTGCTGGCCTGAGCCCAGCGTACCCCTCCAGGAGCTTGTCCGAGTCCCTGAGCGCCTCCTCTTCATCATTGATGGCTTCCATGAGCTAAAACCCTCTTTCCACGACCCTCAGGGCCCCTGGTGCCTCTGCTGGGAGGAGAAACGGCCCACAGAGCTTCTTCTCAGCAGCCTGATTCGGAAGAAGCTGCTGCCTGAGCTGTCTGTGCTCATCACCATCAGGCCCACGGCTTTGGAGAAACTCCACCGCTTGCTGGAGCACCCCAGGCATGTGGAGATCCTGGGCTTCTCTGAGGCAGAAAGGAAGGAGTACTTCTATAAGTATTTCCACAATGCAGAGCAGGCCGGTCAAGTCTTCAATTTCATCAGGGACAATGAGCCCCTCTTCACTCTATGCTTTGTCCCCATGGTGTGCTGGGTGGTTTGTACCTGCCTCAAGCAGCAGTTGGAGGATGGGGGGCTTCTAAGACAGACATCCAGGACCACCACAGCAGTGTACATGCTCTACCTCTTGAGTCTGATGCAGCCCAAGCCAGGGAGCCCAATCCTCCAGTCCCCACCCAACCAGAGAGGGCTGTGCTCTTTGGCGGCAGATGGCCTCTGGAATCAGAAAATTCTATTTGAGGAGCAGGACCTCCGGAAGCATGGCCTAGATGGGGCAGATGTCTCTTCCTTCCTCAACATGAACATCTTCCAGAAGGATATCAACTGTGAAAAGTTCTACAGCTTCATCCACTTGAGCTTCCAGGAATTCTTTGCTGCCATGTACTATATCCTGGATCTTGGGGAGAGCAGGTCCAGCCCAGAACACAATGTGACGAGGCTGTTAGCTGAGTACGAGTTTTCAGAAAGGAGCTTCTTGGCACTCACTGTCCGTTTCCTGTTTGGACTCCTGAATGAGGAGACAAGGAGCTACCTGGAGAAGAGTCTTTGCTGGAAGGTCTCACCTCACGTCAAGGTGGAGCTGCTGGAGTGGATCCAAAGGAAAGCTCAGAGCGAGGGTTCCACTCTGCAGCAGGGCTCCTTGGAGCTCTTCAGCTGTCTGTATGAGATCCAGGAGGAGGATTTCATCCAACAGGCCCTGAGCCCCTTCCAAGTGGTAGTGGTCAGCAACATTGCCACCAAGATGGAACACATGATTTCCTCCTTTTGTGTGAAGAACTGTAGGAGTGCCCTGGTGCTGCACTTGCATGGGGCTGCCTACAGCCCGGATGAAGACGATGGGGGGAGATGGGCTTCAGGGCCCCAGATGCTACCGACACAGATGTAAGTACTCAACGGGGCTCACTCTCGAAGTTTCTGCTCTCCACCATGTTCATATTCTCAACTGGGGTTGATTTTGCCCCCACCCCAGGAGATATTGGCAATATCTAGAGATATGTTGAGTTTTCATAACGAGGAGATGGGGGGCACTATGGCTTTTGGAGGCTTAGGCCAGGGATTCTGCAAAGATACCCCACAGTGCCCAGGATGGCCTCCCACAATAGACGATGGTCTGGCCCCCAAATGTCAACACTGCCCAGGTTAGTGTCCTGCATTTAAACAGTACTCATTTGGACTAAACTGGGGCTATGGTCAAGGAAATTGTATCCAGCCAACAAATATTATCAAGGGTGCTTTTCTGGAGTGCATAGTGTGACCAAGCACCTGCCAGCACAGACATCCTAATGGGAAGAGAGAGAGACAAGGAACAGTAAATAAATAAACAAGCAAACCAGGAAAAAAAAAAAAAAAAAGCTCATTTAGGTAATTTCAGGAGGAGAGAACTATTACAATGAAAATAAAACAGGGTGCAGTAAGAGGCAGTGATATGGAGGTATGGAGGGTTGGGTGGTATCAAGAGGAGATAGAGGAAGGAATCTTTGAGGAAGTGACTGTTTTGGCTTTTTGGCTAAGACTTTGTGTTGGTTTGGGTTCCCCAAGGAGTCATCTTAGATGCAAAAATTTGAATGTAAGTAACATCCAGAAGAAGAAAAATCGTCCTTTTTCTTTCTACCCTCTTAGATCTTGTACGGAGGCCTGTAAATTAAACTGAAAAGGGGGTGGCTCAGTGGTTGAGCGTCTGCCTTCGGCCCAGGGCCTGATCCTGGAGACCCGGGATCGAGTCCCATGTTGGGCTCCCTGCGTGGAGCCTGCTTCTCCTTCTGCCTGTGTCTCTGCCTCTCTCTCTCTCTCTCTCTCTCTCTCTCTCTCTCTGTCTCTCATGAATAAATAAATAAAATCTTTTAAAAATTTTAAAAAAATAAAAAATAAACTGAAAAGAGACAGATTAACAGAGAAAAACAAAGATGTTATTAGATCTTTCTTAGTTCTGGGGTGCCTGGTTGGTTCAGTCGGTAGAGCATGCAACTTTTTGATCTCAGGGCCATGCATTCAAGCCCCACATTGGGCATTAAAAAAAAGGAGTTTATTAATTCATCTGCACTTGTACCTGGGAATCCCCAGAGATGAGTAACTCAAAGGGATGGTTAGAACCTGGGCTTTTATAGCATTCTAACAGAAGAACAGTATATTTTTTTAAAGCATCAGCAAGACAAAAGAAAGGGACACTGAGGTTAGTTGTTAGAAGTTGTTAGGGAGGTTAGTTGTGAGAAGGCAGAAATATGGGGGAAACTAATGGGCTGAGATGTGTTTGTGCAGGTCTGTCTTAGAGCTGTAGTGGGAGAAAATTCTCTTCTCTCTTTGGGTCTCTGGCTGGGCCTAAGAATTAAATTGACAGAGGCATCTGGGTGGCTTAGTGGTTGAGCATCTGCCTTCAGCTCAGAACCTGATCCTGGGGTCCTGGGATCAAGTCCCGCATCAGGCTGCCTGCAGGGAACCTGCTTCTCCCTCTGCCTGTGTCTCTGCCTCTCTCTGTGTGTCTCATAAATAAATAAAATCTTTTAAAAAATTTTAAATTGGCCTATGATAAACAAACAAACTGACATGATAGATTCACAGGAGAAAAGCAGGCAAATTTTATTGAATTTTCACATGTCCTTGGAGCCCTACCAGAGCAGGAAGTACTCAAACATTTTGATTAAAAAACAATCAGCCTGTAAAGAATTGACAGGCCACCTAAGGACATATCAGGCTGAATTTTGAATTAGCATATAATGCCATTAACAGAGCTACATTTAAAGTATCTCTGACATTAGGGATCCCTGGAAGCTCAGCGGGTGAGAGCCTGCCTTTGGTCCAGGGTATGATCCTGGAGTCCCAGGATTGAGTCCCACATTGGGCTCCCTGCATGGAGCCTGCTTCTGTTCTCTCTCTCTCTCTCTCTCTCTCTCTCCCCCTCTGTGTCTCTCATGAATAAATAAATAAAGTCTTTAAAATAAAGTATCTCTGAAATTAGAGGCACCTGGGTAGCTTAGTTGGTTAAGCATCTGACTCTTGATTTCGGCTCAGGTCATCATCTCAAGGTCCTGGGATTGAACCTCATGTTGGGCTCCCCACTCTGTGAGGAGTCTGCTTATCTCTCTCTCATTCTGCTCCTCCCCCACCTCCCTCCCTCCCCCCCCATAAATAAATAAATAAATAAATAAATAAATAAATAAATAAATAAATAAATCTTTTAAGAAAAATAAATAAAAGATCTCTGAAATTAGGGGCGCCTGGCTGGCTCAGTCAGTGGAACATGTGACTCTTGATCTTGGGGTCATGACTTTGAGCCCCACATTGGGCATAGTTTACTTAAAAAAAAAAGAAAAGAATTGACAAGACAAAGGGCTTTGAGGTGGGGGGGCAGTACATGGTGAACAAATAACTAGGTTGTTTATATAGACTTCTTGGCCTGGAATTCACTCCCTAGTGATCAGGATGCCTCCCTTTCTTCTGGGACAGGAAGGAGACTCTTCACATGGGAGATTGACCCATTCTCAGGGAAGAAGCGCCAGATGGTGGTGGAGTAGGGGGTCAGTGATCATCCTGCCTCTGCCACTTTCTCAGACTCCTTCAGCTCAAGACATTTAAGAAGCCATTTCTTGGGCTAGTGTGTTCTGAACCCCTCTGGCACGAAATTTCCATCTTCATGGCCATAAAACTTCCCCAGGAGAGGGGATTTGTGGCATCCCTCACTTTCAGATAACAGAAGTTCTGGAAAGGCTTCTTTCTGCACCTCGGTTGCTTTTTGTTGTTGTTGTTGTTGTTTAAAGGTTTTTATTTCTTTATGCATGAGAGACACAGAGAGAGGTAGAGACATAGGCAGAGGGAGAAGCAGGTTCCCCACAGGGAGCCTGATGTGGGACTTGATCCCAGGACCCCGGGGATCACGACCTGAGGCAAAGGCAGACACTGAACCACTAAGTCACCTAGGTGCCCTCCTTTGCCTTAAACTCAAAATAATCCTTATGCCATCGTGGCATATTTGGGGATGTCAGATTCTGGCCGCACAGAGCACTTTCTTTGGGAGGTAATCCCAGAAAGTAGAGAAGACAAGGAAGGAAGGCAGCCAACAGAGAGAACATCATCCGGCTGGTCACTCATGGGACCCAGAGGTACTTCCCACCTGCTCCTCGGGACAGGGGAGCAGGGGTCTTGAGTTGTACATGAGTCAGGTTGGGGCATTGGCCCCCAGGGTCTCCCAGGCCACTAATGTCAGCTTTTGACCTCAGTGAGGAGGTGACTCAGTCATGTGAAAATTTAGGAAGGAGAGGCATCCTAGGGCCAGGGGTACAGGCGGTAGGGACAGGATGCATGGACATCCCGCTCTGACTGGAGGCTTATTTCCAGTTACTACTCTGCCTGGCTCTTCATGACTCTTCGTCCCACGTGGAGGCACAATTCTGGTAACCAGGTTCCTCCCAGACCTAGTTGCCATTAATGTGCACTAAATGTGGGGCCATGTACCCAGGACTTTCAGCTACCATGCTCCAGGATGCAAGAGGGGAGTGAAGATCAGTAGCCTGGGGTTTGATCCTGACTCTGCTGCTCACTAGCTGTGTGGCTTTGCCCATCACCTCTGTTCATCAAGTCTCAATGTTTCTGTGCAGAAAATGGAATTTCAACTCCTACCTTATGGGGTTCATTGTGAAGGCTCAACACTGAGTTGTGTGCAGGGTCAGAAGCTAACAAATGTTAGATGTCATTTTTTAGATGACATTTTCATGACTGTGTAGACACTCTAAGTACAATGATTTGTTAGTCCTACAGCTCTATTGTGGTTAAGGTCACATAATGTTATATATATAAATATCACGGGGCACCTGGGCGGCTCAGTGGTTGAGCATCTGCTTTTGGCTCAGGTCGTGATTCCAGGGCCCTGGGATCGAGTCCCACATCAGGGTCCCCACAGGAAGCCTGCTTCTCCTTCTGCCTATGTCTCTGTCTCTCCCAAATAAATACATAAAGGGATCCCTGGGTGGCCAGTGGTTTAGTGCCTGCCTTCAGCCCAGGGTGTGATCCTGGAGTCCTGGGATCAAGTCCCACATCGGGCTCCCTGCATGGAGCCTGCTTCTCCCTCTGCCTATATCTCTGCCCCTCTCTCTCTGTGTCTCTCATGAATAAATAAATAAAATATTTTTAAAATAATAATAAATTTTAAAAATAAAGTAAAAAAAATAACACATAAGTGGAGAAAACAGTATTTACTGATAATCTCCCCTGTGAGCTCATCATGTAGCCTTACCACGTAGCCACATTTGGCCATAAATTGACCTATCACCCTCTACTCTTTTTTTTTTAAGATTTTATGTATTTATTCATGAAAGACAGACAGAGAGAGAGAGAGAGAGAGAGAGAGAGAGAGAGAGGCAGAAGCAGGCTCCATGCACAAAGCCAGATGTGGGACTCGATCCCAGGACTCCGGGATCACTCCCTGAGCCAAAAGCAGACGCTCAACCACTGAGCAACCCAGTGGGTTGGGTCCCTATCACCCTCTACTCTTGCTTTTCTCTCTTTCTCTCTCAAACATTTCATTTTTTTATTTTAATTTTTTTTAAGTTTTATTTATTTATTCATGAGAGACACACAGAGAGAGAGAGAGAGGCAGGGACACAGGCAGCGGGAGAAGCAGGCTCCATGCAGGGAGCCCAATGCGGGACTCGATCCCAGGACTCCAGGACCACACCCTGGGCTCTAAAGGCAGGAGCTCAACTACTGAGCCACCTGGGCGTCCCTCAAACATTTTATTTTTAAAAAATTTTAATTTACATTCAATTAATTAACATATAATGTGTTAATGGTGTCAGAGGTAGAGGTCAGCGATTCATTGGTCTTACTCTTTCAAATATTTTTTTTAAGATTTTATTTATAAATGATAGACATACATGCGCGCACACACACACATGGGGCAGAGACACAGGCAGAGGGAGAAGCAGGCTTCATGCAGAGAACCTGATACAGAACTCGATCCCGGAACTCCAGGATCACGCCCTGGGCTAAAGGTAGGTGCTAAACCGCTGAGCCACCCAGGGATCCCTTCTCTCAAATATTTTAAAGCAAATCTGAGTCAAGTCATTTCACCCACATGGCACCAGATACTCACCTACTGCTGAACTAAATCGTTCAACATTGATCCCTAACAGAGAAGGATGTTGTTTCCCCATGAGCACTGTGGCTCCACCCCAGCTAACGGTTTCCTGACATCTGATACCCAGTCCATAGCTGCATACAGGTGCACCCAGGTATCTCTATCAGCACTGCTGTGTTCCAGCCAGCATCCAGGCCCTGTGCACACATGGTATTTTCTTGATACATCTCTTAATCTCTCTCTCTCTCTCTCTCTCTCTCTCTCTTTTCTACAGTAGCTCCATTCTGACTCTTTGTTCCATGACCATGTCTTGTTGGAGGAGCTGGGCATTTGTCTTTAGTATGTGATCACCTTTGCTAGTGGTCAGTATTTTCAGCTTCGTGCACCAGGCAGCTACTTTCTTTTGCAAATACTCCATTCTGCCATCGAAGCAGTAAGCACCGTAGAAAAACACCTTGCCTAGTGGGCAAGCTTGTGTTCCAATAGAACCATTTAGGAAGATCCGGCTCCAAGGCTGTGGTTAGCCCACCCCCACCCAAGGACACCCACAGGCAGGCTAAGTGCTCCGTCCTATTTCCAGTCTCCTGAGGGACATTGGACAAGCCCCCAGGGTCATTCAGATGATAAAATAAAGATGACAGGGGCTTCTGGAGGGTTCAGTTGGTAGAGTGTGCAACTCTTGATTTCAGCGTTGGGAGTTCAAGCCTTGCATTGGGCATGGGGCCTACTTAAAAAATGTAAAAAATAAAGATGACAAGATGCTTCATAAATTGTGAGGTGACACATGATTCCCCACACAATCATTGTACAGTGGTTGGTTTGACTAGGCTTTGTCCTGTCTCTCCTTCTTGCAGACCCGAGAAGAACGTTTTGCCAGATGCCTACAGCAAACAGCTTGCTGCCGCTCTGAGCACCAACCCGAATCTGACAGAGCTGGTTTTGTACCGCAACGCGTTGGGCAGCCGGGGGGTGAGGCTGCTGTGTCAGGGGCTCAGACACCCCAGCTGCAAACTTCAAAACCTGAGGTGAGTCCAGGCGAGTCTGCACCCTGTCCTCAGGGGGCTCTGTCAGAAGGAATATATAGTGGTGTGTGTTCCTGCTGGCACACTCTGGGTTTCCAGGGGTTAGGATTTTAGGGTATGAATTTAGTGGGGGACACGACCCAGCCCACAGCAGAAGCAGTTAGTACAAATGCCAGCGTCATTACCTCCCACTTTTCTTATTTTAGCTCCTTCTTTCCAGGCTTCCTATCTCCAATTACACTACCTGAGTTGAAAGTTGAGTACACAAAGTCGTAGTAATTAAAACAGTCCAGTGCCAGGAGCTCCTGGCTGGCTCAGTTGAGGAGTGTGCGACTCTTAATCTCGGGGCCCTGAGTTCGAGCCCCACATCGGGAGGCAGAGATTACTTAAAAAACAAAACGGGGACACTTGGGTGGCTCAGTGGTTGAGGGTCTGCCTTTGGCTCAGGGCATGACTCTGGGGTCCTGGGATCAAGTCCCACATCGGGCTCCCCACAGGGAGCCTGCTTCTCCCTCTGCCTGTGTCTCTGCCTCTCTCTCTCTGGGTCTCTCATAAATAAATAGATAAAATCTTTAAAAAAATTTATAAAAAGAAACAGACAAGAAGTTAAGATGGTAAATGCTACGTTATGCATATTTTACCACGCTGCTATCAAACATGGCAATATGAAGGCACAGCTTGTAGGAATTAGATGGCACCCAGCTGAGGGAACCCAGAGTGTCTGAATCCTGACCCAGAACACAGTGCCGTTCCCTTAGCCCATCCTGCAGGGCAGACACAGGGATAGGGATCCGGATTGGGGCCCAGTAAAGCAAGCTACCGTTTTGTGAGCAGCACGTGGGCCCGATCCCAAAGAAATAATAATAAATAATACCATTCTTTCTTGACTTTGTGCCACGTGCAAGGAGCCATGCCAAGAACTTACATTACATATGTCTCCAGTTAATTCGGGTCAATGCCATCAGCCCTGCTCTGGTGCAGCTCAGAGAGAGAGACACACACACAGTGATGAGCAAGCTTCTGTGTGGCCCTGGCAGGAGGCGTGTGGCCCAAGCAGGTGCCTTGGGACCTGCTGGCTACTCAGAGTCTCCTTCTCCAAGTGAAGGGGTAAGCCCCCTCCCCCCCCCCGCAGAGCCAGCAGGAGAGGCCTCAAATTCCTCTCTAAAGGCACCTCTGTGATAGCGCTCCCGTGCTAAAGCACCAAGACACCTTATGTTATTCTTGTTCCTTTTATTTTTTTATTGACACATCATTGACATGCTGGATGTCAAAACATGCAATGGTGTTTTCCCTTTGTTTTTTTTTTTTTTAATTTTATTTTTTTATCCATGAGACACACAGAAGAGAGAGGCTGGGACACAGGCAGAGGGAGAAGCAGGCTCCCTGCAAGAAGCTCTATGTGGGACTCGATTCCAGGACCTCTTTTGGATCGTGCCCTGAGCCAAAGGCAGACAGACGCTCCATCACTGAGCCACCCAGGGGACCCTCAGTGGTGTTTTTTCTTTAGGGTAGGCACGGACTTGAGCAAATGTATCTGCTAACTCCAGAACATTTTCATCACAGCAGAAACAGCCTATCCCTTAGCTGTCCACCCTGCTCCACTCCCCCGCCTGTCCCCACCACCACCACCCCTTGCCCCACCCCGCCCCTGGGCACCCTGTGATCTCCTTTCTTTTACTTCAGAAAGAGGAGAGAATAGGTACAGACCAAAGGAAGGAGGGAGACAAAGGGTGAGGGGCAGAACCCACAGAACACCGGTGACCTGGCCCTTCCCCCTCTCTCCCACCCAGCCTGAAGAGGTGCTGCGTGGCCAGCTCCGCCTGCCAGGACCTTGCGGCTGCCCTGATGGCCAATCAGAATCTAAGGAGGATGGACCTGAGCAGCAACAAGCTGGGGCTGCCAGGCCTGAGAGCACTCTGCAAGGGGCTCCGGCATCCCAGATGCAAGCTGCAGGTGATCCAGTGAGTCTACCCAATCCAGACCCTCCTCAGTCTGAGTCTTCTCCCCGGAGGGGCTGGAACAGTCCCACAAGATGCTGCCGACCCCAAATCTCTACCTCTAGGTTAGGGCTGCCCTTAGACCCACAACCTTGGACCCCTTCCCTGGACTCTGCACTTTAGGGAGGGAACCCCTCCGGGACCTCCTCTGACCCATCGGCTTCCATGCTGGGGGGTGCATGGGCCACCTGCCCTCCCAGTCCTCGGGCCCTACTTGCCAGCTACACCCGGAGGGGTCAGGATGCTGAGCTCCTGCGAGTTCACGACACGTACTCGTGCTGTCCCCTCTCGCTGCAAGGCCACTGTTGCAGACAAGCCTCCAGCGTGCCCGGGGGTCTCCTTCACTCTCACAGCAAACACGGCGTTTCTGACACTTCGGGTCACCAACGCATGGGGTTTCCCACACAAGCAGCTCAGCCACAGCAGTGGGGTGTCCCACCATACAAGTCCACTTTGCCACCATCTACCTGGAAGTGGCGTCACTTCCCACAGGTGAGGGCTGGGCCCCATCAGACTGCTTCAGAGTCAATTAGGTATCCTGGTTGTTACCTGGCTTCCAAAGGACCCCTGTCTCGGGTTTGAATAATCTCCTAGGGCGGCTCAGAGCACTCAGGAAAACCTTGCCAGGGATCAGTGTATTATTAAAGGATATGGTAAAGGAGGCAGATGAACAGCCTGAGGAAGAGCTCCATGGGGTGAGGCCTGGGAGGGTCCCAGCCTGGGAGCTTCTGACCCATGGAGCTGGGGTGTCACCCTCCTAGCCTGGACCCTGGACGGGTTCACCAGCTGGAAGCTCCAAACCATGTATGGTCTTGCGGTTTTATGGAGCCTTCCTCTTGTGGCCTCTGTTTCATTAACTCCATTTCTGGCCCCTTGCCTTTTGGAAGAGGGTAGGGGGCAGGGCTGAACGTTCCCAGCCTTTCATTCTGGCATTGTCTCTTGGGTGCCCAACCCCATGTAGGAGCCCACCCATTAGAACCAGAGATGCTTTTGGGGTGCCTGGGTGGTCAGTCAGTTAAGCATCTGCCTTCGACTCAGGTTTTGCATGATCCTGGGGTCCTGGGATCAAGTCTGGGTCAGGCTCCCTGTTCCAGGGAAACCTGCTTTTCCCTCTCTCTCTGTCCCTCCCCCTGCCTCATCTCATGCCTCTCTCTCTCTCTCTCTCTCTCTCTCTCTCTCTCAAATAAATAAATGAAGCCTTAGAAAAAAAAAAAAAGAGGAGAAGAAGAAGAACAACAACAACAACAACCAGAGAGATGCTCCTAGCGCTCTGGTCACTTAGGAACAGCAGGGGCCAAACAAAACAAAACAAAACAAACAAACAAAAAAAAAGGAACAACAGGGGCTTCAGGAGCCCTGTGTCAGGAAGGAGGGTGTGCAGAGACCAGTACATGTGTTTTCTACCATCTGCCACACCTTATCCTGTTCCTGCCAGTAACTCCTACTGACCCTTCCAGAACCATCTCAAACTCCCCAGAGTCTTCCCTGACTGTGCATAGTTTGCCAAACCTGAGCTAGGTGTCCCCTCCACCATGATGGTTTTAATAAACTGGAGCTCAGCATAGGAGCACCTACTGTGTGCCCGGTGTGGTTCTACACCCTGCCTCCTTGGTAAAGTATGTAGTCCTTGCAACAACCTTAGGAAGCAGGTGTGATTATTACCCTTATTTTTGAGGCAGCGAACCTGAGGCAGAGCAGCTCATGACACACATAACAGACTTCCTGACCACTTGCTAGAGGGTGCAGGGCTCATGAGCAGCAGAGATGGACATTCCCAGGTCCTGAGCGCTAGAGAACCACCCTGAGCTATGGTGCACTCCTGCCTCAGTGGCATCACCTTCACTGGATGATGCTTGCTTACCCCTCTGTCTCCTTCAGTGGGATACTCCTTGCTGGAAATGATGAAGTCGTCTTCTTCTTCTTCTTCTTCTTCTTCTTCTTCTTCTTCTTCTTTTCTTCTTCTTCTTCTTTTTTAATGATTTAGTCTTCTTAATGCCTGAGCTGTAGTGACACGTGTAGGTTTGTGTTGGGTGATTCAAGGGACCAGGGGATGAGCCAGGAGGATAGAGGACAGCAAGAGGCTCCCTCTTCAACATCTGTCTCTTTCCTCCCGAGGTTGAGGAAGTGTCAGCTGGAAGCGGAGGCTTGCCAGGAGATTGCCTCTGTGCTCAGCACCAGTCGACATCTGGAGGAGTTGGACCTGACTGGAAATGCTCTGGAGGATTTGGGTCTGAAGCTCTTATGTCAAGGCCTGAGACACCCAGTCTGTAGCCTGCAGATCCTGTGGTGAGTTCTTCATGGGACCAACTTAAAATGCAAGTCTCCTCGTATTGAGGGATGATATAAAAAACACACCATCTGTATACCCATGTTTGTAGCAGCATTATTCATGATAGCCCAAAGGTGGAAACAGCCCAAATGTCCATCAGCAGGTGCATGGGTAAACAAAATATGGCATATACATACTAGGTGATATTATTCTATTTTTTAAAAAATTTGAGGGATCCCTGGGTGGTTCAGCGGTTTGATGCCTGCCTTTGGCCTGGGGCGCGATCCTGGAGTCCCGGATCGAGTCCCACATCGGGCTCCCGGCATGGAGCCTTCTTTTCCCTCCTCCTGTGTCTCTGCCTCTCTCTCTCTCTCTCTCTCTCTCTCTCTGTCTATCATAAATAAATAAATAAATCTCTAAAAAAAATTTGAAATTCTGACATCATGCCACACATGGATAAACCTGGAAGATACATATTTTTTAACAGATCAGTATCTTTTTTTTTTAAGATTTTATTTATTTATTCATGAGAGACACAGAGAGAGAAAAAGAAGCAGAGACACAGGCAGAGGGAGAAGCAGGCTCCATGCAGGGAGCCCGACGTGGGATTCGATCCCGGGACTCCAGGATCAGGCCCTGGGCTGAAGGCAGCGCTAAACCGCTGAACCACCTGGGCTGCCCGAACCTGGAAGATATTATGTAAAGTGAAAAGTCAGTCATAAAAGGACAAAGATGTTATGATTCCACTTAGAGCCCTACAATAGTGAAATCCAGATATAAAGTAGAACAGTGGTTGCTGTGGGACTGGGGCAGGAGGGAATGGAGAATTGTACAGAGTTTGTGTTTGGGACCATGCCAGGTTCCAGACATAGATAGTGGTGATGGTTGCACGGCAGTGCAAATGTACTTAATGCCACTGAGTCATACACTTAGAAATGGCTAGAATGGGGTCTGGCTCAGTTGGAAGAGCTCGTGTGACTCTTGGTCTCAGAAGGCATGAATTAGAGCCTCACATTGGGTTGAGTGTAGAGATGGTAAATTTTTTTGTCTGTATTTATCTATACCTATCTATCCATACTTTTTAACTTGTTAAAATGTTAAAATTATATTTATTTCTTCATGAGAGACACAGAGAGGGGGCAGAGACACAGGCAGAGGGAGAAGCAGGCTTCCTGTGGGGACCCCGATGTGGGACCCCGGGATCATGCCCTGAGCCAAAGGCAAATGCTCAATCACTGAGCCACCCAGGCATCCCTCTATACTTTTTTTTTTAAGATTTTATTTATTTATTCATGAGAGATACAGAGAGAGAGAGAGAGGCACAGACAGAGGCAGAGGGAGAAGCAGGCTCCATGCGGGGAGCCCGACATGGGACTCAATCCCAGGTCTCCAGGACCATACCCTAGGCCGAAGGTGGCGCTAAATGCTGAGCCACCCTGGCTGCCCCCTCTATACTTTTTTAAAGTAAGTTTTCACTCAACATGGGGCTCAAACCTAAGATTCCAATCAAGAGTCGCAAGCTCTACGGACTAAGCTAGCCATGTGCCCCATATTTTATATATTTTGACACAATAAAGCATAAATAAATACCCAGGGGATAGTAACAACAGTGACAAGTGCCATCAAGACCCCCCAAAATAAAAAAAGACCCCCCCAAATAAAAGCATTCACAAAAACTCCTGAGGTTGCCAGTGACAGACACCCCATCTCTGTGGTTGAAGATAAAAGTGAATTTGTTGGTTCTGTAACCAAGAAGTCCAGAGGGAAATACTGGTTTTGAGCACAGCTGAATCCAGGGACTCACATGGTAAAATCAGGACTCTGTCTCTGTCTTCCCTTTCTATATATAGGAAGACACTATGCTAAATGTCAACAGAGGACATCTTTGAGGGGCAATAGTGTTTTCCTGCCCTAAATTCCTATCAGTTATAAGGTGCTTCTAACTGTACCCCAAACACATTGCCACTGATTTATGGTGTAACATCAAAGAGAGTTTGGGGGAATCACACATAAGGAGCACAGAAAGAATGTTCTGTATTTTCTTGATTATTTTAGCCAAGAAAATGCATCATGCTAAAAATAAAATAAAATACACATATCATAAAATTTACCATCTTTTTTTTTTTTAAGATTTTTATTATTTATTCACGACAGACACAGAGAGAGAGACAGGCTGAGAGAGAAGCAGGCTCCATGCAAAGAGCCCAACGCAGGACTTGATCTTGGGTCTCTAGGATCACACCCTGGGCTGAAGGTGGTGCTAAACCGCTGGGCCACTGGGGCTTCCCACCATCTTTTTAAAAGTAATCTCTGCACTCAGGACCCAGAGGTCAGGAGTTGCATACTCTACCAGCTGAGCCAACCAGGTGCCCCTACCATCTTACAATTTTGAAGATATGGTTCCACATTATTAAGCACATTTTTACTGTTGTGCAACCATCACCACCATCTGCCTCCTGAACTTTTTTTATCTTGCAAAACTGAGTCTGTCCAGTAAACAGACTCCCGGGCACTTGGGTGGCTCAGTGGTTGAGTGTCTGCGTTTAGCTCAGGTCGTGATCCTGGGGTCCTGGGATTGAGTCCCACATTGGGCTCTCTACATGGAGACTGCTTCTCCTTCTACCTATGTCTCTGCCTCTGTCTCTATATCTCTAATGAATGAATAAATACAGTCTTTTTTTTTTTTTTAATAAATACAGTCTTAAAAAAAAAAAAGAAAGAAAAAGAAAAAAAGGGCGCCTGGGTAGTTCAGTGGTTGAGCATTTGCCTTTGACCCAGGTCATGATCCCAGGGACCTGGGATCGAGTCCCATATCAGGCTCCCTGCAAGGAGCCTGCTTCTCTTTCTGCCTATGTCTCTGCCTCTCTCTCTCTGTGTCTCTCATGAATAAATAAAATCTTAAAGAAAAAGAAAAGAAATTCCTTCCTTTTTGTGGCTGAACAACATTACACTGCCTGGATATATCACAGTTTGTTTATCCATTCAACTCTTCCACTAATGGACACTTGGGTTACTTCTACCTTTTGGCTATTTTGAATAATTCTGTAAACATAAAGGTACAGGTATGTTTTTGGCCTATGTAACCAGAAGTGAAAAGGATGGATCATGTGGTCATTTTAAATTTTTTTGCGGAGCTGCCATATTGTTTTCCACAGCCACTGTACCAATATTTGTTGTTACCAACAGTGCATAAAGTCTCTGATTTCTTTTTTTTTTAAGATTTTATTTATTTATTAATGAGAGACACAGAGAGAGAGAGAGAGAGAGAGAGAGAGGCAGAGACACAGGCAGAGGGAGAAGCAGGCTCCATGCAAAGAGCCTGATATGGGACTCAATCCCAGGACTCCAGGATCACGCCCCGGGCCGAAGGCAGCGCTAAACTGCTGAGCCATCCAGGGATCCCAAGTTTCTGATTTCTTTGTGTCCTTGCTAATGCTTGTGGTTTGGGGGGGCTTTTTAAAATTATTCTTTTTTTTTGAAGATTTTATTTATTCATGAGAAACGCAGAGAGAGAGGCAGGGACAGAGGTAGAGCGAGAAGGAGGCTCCATGCTGGGAGCCCAATGTGGGACTCAATCCCGGGACTCCAGGATCACCCCCTGGGCTGAAGGCAGATGCTCAATCACTGAGCCATCCAGGTGTCCCTCGTAATACATGTTGAATTGGATTTTCTGCAGGTTGAAGATTTGCCATCTCACTGCTGCTGCCTGCGAGGACCTTGCCTCGACCCTGGGTGTGAACCAGAGCCTGATAGAGCTGGATCTGAGCCTCAATGACCTGGGGGACCCCGGGGTGCTGCTGCTATGTGAAGGCCTCAGGCATCCCCAGTGCAGACTCCAGACCCTCCGGTGAGTCTTACCCTGCTCACCATCCTTGCTCTTCTGCATGGGGTCACTGGGGTCATGTTCACTCCTCTCGTCTCCTAACCTCTAGCTACATACATCTGCCGCAAAGATTTTTCTGCTACAGGGCCTTTGCACAGCAGTTCTTTTTTCCTGGGTTACCTGCCTCTCTGCTTTGCTAAATCCCCTTTTATTTGGATGATATCTGTTTTATCGGTAAGACTCAAAACAGGGATGCGTGGGTGGCCCAGTGGTTGAGCGTCTGCCTTAGGCTCAGGGTGTGATCCCGGGGTACCTGGATCAAGTCCCACATCGGGCTCCCCACGAAAAGTCTGTTTCTGCCTCTGCCTATATCTCTGCCTCTGTGTGTGTCTCTCATGAATAAATAAAATTTTTTAAAAAGACTCAAAACAAATGCTTCTTCCTCGTGCATGCCTACTCTAACCCCTAAATCAGGTCTATAGTCCTAGTTTAGGGATTTAATTTGACCTTATGCTTCTCGGCATCACTTATCAAAACTTGTCATTTGTGTGCATATGTGTGATCTTCCAAAAGTGCAGAAGCTGTGTTAGCTCTGTACTCCGATGGCCAGTATAAGACCTGACTCAGGGGTGTTTAGAAATACATATGTCTTATTTTTCTTTTTTATTAAGTTTTTTGTTTTAATTCCAGTACAGCTAACATATTTTTAAATGAGTAAATGTGTGAATAAATCAAGGAACAAAAAGAAAACACAGAAGGCTATCAGTTTTCAGAAAATCATTTTTCTCTGTTGTCCCAAAGGAGAGTCTGACTGTCCTACAAAAGCCTCATGTACTATCTCACGTTGTTCATGCTGAAAGGTTTTTTGGTCTTTTTCTCTTTTTCTTTTTTCTCCTTTTAAGACATTGTGAATAGTGTGGCTTCTATTGTTTTTGTTAGGTTCACAGAGGTGTCCTGTTTCTTCACAGTCTGCTGTCCACTGCATCCTGTACTGCAAGATCACTGAGGACCCACCGTGCCTCTCTAATTTTTTCTCCTTCATTGGCACCCCAAAGCTCATCTGCAGGCACTCCTGTCTCTGTTTTACATAACAATATATCTCGACAGTGTCTCCCGCAACTCTTCCCCTCTCCCCACTCCAATCCACTTACCTTTATACATTCAGGATGTGCTCACTCCGGTGTAGACATATCTAATGCATTTCTTTTTTTTTTTTTTTTAAGATTTTATTTATTTGTGTGTGTGTGTGTGTGTGTGTGTGTGTGTGAGAGAGAGAGAGAGAGAGAGAGAGAGAGAGAGAGAGAGAACGAGGAGTGTGGAGGGGCAGAGGGAGAAGCAGGCTCCCCCCTGAGCAGGGAGCCCCATGTGGAGCTCCATCCCTGGACCCTCAGATCCTGACCTGAGCTGAAGGCAGATACTTAACCGACTGAGCCCCCAGATGCTCCTAATGCATTCCTTGGAGCGTGCCATCACGTGCACGCACCAGATGCTATAGAGCCATGCCCCTCTCTTCCACTCTGCTCTTGCTGTCTGTGTCCCTTTTGGAACCCCACTGGGTTCCCACCCAGGGGCAAGAGTCATCTGCTCAGCCTGAATTTGCATGCTTGGTTATCTCCAACCGTTCTGAAAAGCTCTCTGGAAAGATCCACAGTTTACACTTCCACCCGCAATTTAGGAAAGCTACTTTGCCTGAATCTTTGTGGTTATTCAACTTTCTATCTTTAAATGCCTGGTGGGTGTAAGATGTTCTTAAACGGCATTTCAGTGTTGAGTATCTCTTCATGTGCTTATCAGCTTCTTTGGTTTCCCCAATCTGTGAATTGCCTATTTGTATAATGTATTTATTTCTTTGCTATGTATCCTTGATTTATCTTGATTTCCAGATGTTCCCTATTTCAGATATTTATCTTTTGTTGACTGCCTACCTTGCAAATGTCTGCTCAGCAGGTCATCAATCTGTCAAATTGTCTGTGGATGCTTTCATCAAACAGAAATCCTTATGTTTTGAGGCCAAACCCATATGTGTTTTAATGATTTTATATTCTTTTAAAAAAAAAAAAATTATTTAGGGCAGCCTGGGTGGCTCAGCGGTTTAGTGCCGCCTTCGGCCCAGCGCGTGATCCTGGAGACCTGGGATCCAGTCCCAGGTCGGGCTCCCTGCATGGAGCCTGCTTCTCCCTCTGCCTGTGTCTCTGCCTCTCTCTCTGTGTGTCTCTCATGAATAAATAAATAAAATCTTTTAAAAATTTATTTATTCAAGAGAGACACAGAGGGAGAGAGAGGCCGGCTCCATGCAGACAGCCCCATGTGGGACTCGATCCTGGGACTCCAGGATCAGGCCCTGGGCTTAAGGCAGTGCTAAACTGCTGAGCCACCAGGGCTGCCCTGACCTTATATTCTTGTAACAGGCCTAAGAAATCCTTTGCCAGGAGCCTGGCTGGCTCAATCAGGAGACCATGTGACTCTTGATCTCAGGGTCATGAGTTGGAGCCCCATGAAAGATGTAGACATTACTTAAGTAAAATAAAAAAGAAAGGGCTATGAGACCCTTGTATATCGCTTGCTGTTATGAGTTCATATGTTCAGAAAATCCCCATGTTGCTGTCCCAACCTCCAGGCCCCCTTTGGAAGTAAAGTCTGTATGAGTCTGTCTTCATCTGCTAGGGCTGCCTTAACAAAATACCGCAGACTGAGGGCTCACATGTAGAAATGCACTTTCTCCCAGTTCTGGAGGCTGGAAGTTGTGGATCAGATGTTGGCAGGGTTGGTTTGTTGTCAGACCTCTCTGTTTGGCTTGCAGATGGCCACCTCATCACTGTCCTCACCATCTTTCTTGTGTGTGCACACATGTCCCTTGTCTGTCTGTGTGGCGAAAGTTACTCTTGTATGGACAACAGCTCATATTGGGTTAGGGTGGACAGTGTGTGTGTGTGTGTCTGTGTATTTAAAAAAAATTATTTATTTATTTATGAGAGACACAGAGATATAGGCAGAGGGAGAAGCAAGCTCCCTGCAAGGAGTCCAATGTGGGACTTGATCCCAGGACCCTGGGATCATACCCTGAGCCAAAGGCAGACACTCAGCTGCTGAGCCACCCAGGAATCGCAATTTGGGCAGTGTTTTAATTTAATCATGCCTTGTAAAGCCTCATCTCCCAATGCAGCCATATTCTGAAGCAGGGGGTTAGGGCTTCAGTATAGAAGTTGGGGAGGTGGGGATGCTGGTGGCTCAGCGGTTGAGCACCTGCCTTTGGCTCAGGGCGTGATCCTGGAGTCCCAGGATCGAGTCCCACATCGGGCTTCCTGCATGGAGCCTGCTTCTCCCTCTGCTTCTCTCTCTCTCTCTCTCATGAATAAATAAATTAAAAATCTTAAAAAAAAAAATTGGGGGAGGGACACAACTCAGAGTTGTGTTGTGACCCTGTTGCAGGGTCATTGCAGATAAAATTAGTTCAGGTGAGGGCAGGCTGGAGCAGGGCTGGTCTTTTGTGTGGAGTCCTTATGAAGAAGGGAAATTTGGACACAGACACACACACACACACACACACACACACACAGAGAGGGAGAGAGATCCGGGCGATGCTTCTACAGGGCAGGGAACACCCAAGATTGCCAGCAGACCCCAGAAGCCAGGGGAGGCAGGAGCAGGTGCTCAGGGCTCCTGAATGAACCAGGCTCCCAGCCCCCAGCCCCCGAGACGGTTAATTTCCACCATGAGAGCCGCCAGCCTGCAGGCACAGGTCCTTGTTACAGCAGCCTCAGGAAGCTAATCTGCTGGCACCTGTCCAATTCCAACCCATGCCAGATATTACCTTTTCTATATGATCTTCCTGCCGCCCACTCTCTTCTTTCCTTCTTCCCTCTGCCCTCCCACCTGCCTGCTCCTGTCTTCTCCCTTTTTTCTGCCTGGGGGGTGCCTGGCATGGGAGCCGCTTCTCTGGGAGGGCTGCAGGCTGCAGGCTGAGTCGCTGGGCTCTGGGCCTCGTGTCTTCCAGGTTGGGCATTTGCAGGCTCAGCTCGGCAGCCTGCAAGGGTCTCTGCACGGTGCTGCAGGTCAATCCCTGCCTCCGGGAGCTGGACCTGAGCTTCAATGACCTGGGGGATGCGGGCATGTGGCCGCTCTGCGAGGGGCTGCGTCACCCCACCTGCAGACTCCAGAAACTGTGGTGAGCTCTGGGCATCGGGACTGGTGGCATGAGGGTGGTGGTGTTGGCGGGCTTCGGGTGGGGGCGCAGCCTTGTCCGTATGTTCTTTTCATCGAAAGGCCATCCCTGCACCGCTCCGGAAGACACCGGGAACCCCGACGTAGAAAGAAAAGCTGCAAACCGCTCATGTTCTTTGTGGGATGCAAACATAAAATGCCTCCCTTTCCCCTTTGCTCATTGCCTATAAACATTTCCTGTAAAACTCGCCTTTTCCGCTGCCATTTACTTGCACAGATTTGTGGCTTTTCGGTGACCTTTATGGAATAAAAACTCAATCTGCTCCAGTGTGAATTCCAGTCAAATGTGAATTGTCCCTTCCTCCTCCTCCTTACTCTCCAGGACCAGCCTGGCCACTCACCCTGAGGGACGGTCTGTTTCTGTTGTGGTGGTTTCTGAGTCTCTCGATTATCTGGGGCGCTGGGTAGGTGGGCATCAAGGCAGGCGCTCAGGGATGGCACTTTCCCTGTATTGGTGCTGCTAGGGTCCCATCTGGCAGGCATCCAGAGGTCACCTTTGTCATGGGGATCGTATGCATGTTCTTTTTTTAAATTATTATTATTTTATTTTATGTATTTATTCATGAGAGACACACAGAGAGAGGCAGAGAGAGACATAGGCAGAGGGAGAAGCAGGTTCCTTGCAGGGAGCCTGATGCGGGACTCGATCCCTGGATGCTGGGATCACAACCTGAGCCAAAGGCAGATGCTCAACCACTGAGCCACCCAGGTGTCCCTCATATGCACGTTCTTTTTTTTTTTTAAAGATTTATTTATTTATGATATATATATATATATATATATATATATATATATAGAGAGAGAGAGAGAGAGAGAGAGAGAGAGGCAGAGGGAGGGAGAAGCAGGCTCCATGCCGGGAGCCCGATGTAGGACTCGATCCCGGGGCTCCAGGATCGCACCCTGGGCCAAAGGCAGGCGCCAAACCAACCGCTGAGCCACCCAGGGATCCCCCATATGCACGTTCTTACCAGCTCCCCCTCCCCCCGGGAGCTGTTCCCATTGCCCACTCTCCTGAAGTGGAATCTTGATCTACCTCCTTGTACACACGCCCCCCCCCCCCCCCCCCCCCCCCCCCCCGTCTCACCCTAATCTTCTTCTCCTGACCCTTCTGCATCTCTGGGTGGTTCCTCCTCACCAAACTGGTTTTGTTTTTTTTTTCTCTTCCTCTGCAAGTCCCGAGCTTCCGTCTTATACCTCATCTTGGAAGCTGGCATCTCTTGCCGCACAGGCTCAGGAAAACTAAGATTAAAATATTTCTACTTTAAAAAATTTTTTTCTACTTAAAAAAATATATATATTTCTACTTAACATCCCAGCTGTGATGGTATTTCTTTCAGATGCTTGCTGTGAGGGATAAATGATGAAGTAAACAAAGCCCTTAGCAAAGTGCTCAGCATGCCTTGGCCCTCAGTAAATGCTATCTGTTCTTACTGGAACAAACAGCACAGAATGCAGGAAAGAAACACAATGGGAGGCCAATTGGAAATCAGAGAGAATCAGTCAACATACTGTTTGGGCAGGTGGCAGCCTAATTCACACTGGCTCCTTAAAAAAATAAGGGTGCTTATTGACTTGTGTAACTGGATTGACTTCAGGCATGGCTTGATCTAGGTGTTTAGAGTCTTTTTTTTTTTAAGATTTATTCATGAGAGACACACAGAGAGAGGCAGAGACATAGGCAGAGGGAAAAGCAGGTTCCTCACAGAGAGCTCAATGTGGGACTTGATCCCAGGACTAGGATCACACCCTGAGCCGAAGGCAGGTGCTCAACCACTGAGCCACTCAGGCATCCCTAGGTGTTGAGTCTTGATCTCTATTATCTTCCGTACTTGTTGCTGTGTTGGCTCCTTTATCAAATAAGTGTAGCCTTGATCCTGCTTGGTGGCAAAACACCTGCAGCCCTCACAGGACTTTTGGATCTAAGTTCTGAAAAAAGAACTCCAGGAATCCAGAATGGTTCTGACTCACTGGTTTTGGGTGGGCCTATGTCCAGTTGAAGCCATTCATGGTAACTGGAGACATCAAAACCAACCAGCTCAGGTCTGGAATATTAGTTTAAGGACGGTGTGAGCTGCAGGTAGGCTGAGACTGGAGTATGAATGAGAAATTGGGATAGAATTACCAGAAAGGGAAGTGGATGCTTGATTGCAAAATCAGTGGGTATCCTATAGAGAGATGCAGCTCTGGATAGGTAAGCATCCTTAAATACCTGTCCTTTTTTTTTTTTAATATAATATTCTTTTTTAAAAAAAGATTTATTTATTTATTTGTTCATGAGAGAGAGAGAGCGGCAGAGACACAGGAGGAGGGAGAAGCAGGCTCCATGCCAGGAGCCCGAAGTGGGACTCTATCCCGGGACTCCAGGATCGCGCCCTGGGCCAAAGGCAGGCGCTAAACCGCTGAGCCACCCAGGGATCCCCAAATACCTGTCTTAAGTATTTCCGTTCACCACATTGGCCTTATCCAGGACCGGTCAGGTTCTACTCTGCTTCCTCTTAAATTGGTCCTGTAAAAACATCACCCCAAATCCCTCTGAAGAGGCAGCTCCTTGTGTTGCTCCAACCACTCCTTGTCTTCCACAGGCTGGATAGCTGTGGCCTCACTGCCAAAGTGTGTGAGGATCTTTCGTCTGCCCTCGGGGTGAGCCAGACCCTGAGGGAGCTTTATCTGACCAACAATGCCCTGGGGAATGCAGGGGTCAGGCTGCTCTGCAAAGGACTGAGTCATCCCGGCTGCAAACTTCAAGTCCTCTGGTGAGAGACCGGTTTCTGGGTCTGAAGGAGGCAGGGCGTAGGACTTGGAGGTGGGGGTGAGGGTCAGTAATCAATACCCATGGTTCAAAAAAAAAAAAAAAAAAAAAAAAAAAAAACATGGTTCGGTGAACAAATAAAGCTAGAAAACTTGGAAACATTTCCTTCGTGCGGTAATGTGTGCAATTAGTGTGGAATGCTGAGGTCTTTATGTCCTGGCCAATTTCTTTTTTTTTTTTTAAGATTTTATTTATTCATGAGAGACACACACAGTGAGACAGAGACTTAGGCAGAGGGAGAAGCAGGCTCCCTGGGGGAGCCTGATGCGGGACTCCATTCTAAGACCCCAGGATCACACCCTGAGCTGATGGCAGATGCTCAACTGGAGCCAGCCAGGAATCCCTGTCCTGGCCGATGTCTATCACTGAGGACCCATTTCCTAACCTGTCAAATGAGGCCCTTGTGGCTTAGAATCTGAAATGACTGTTAGGCCTCAAATTTGAATTCTGGGGGATCCCTGGGTGGCTCCGCGGTTTAGTGCCTGCCTTTGGCCCAGGGCAGGATCCTGGAGACCTGGGATCAAGTCCTGCATCGGGCTTCCGGTGCTTGGAGCCTGCTTCTCCCTCTGCCTGTGTCTCTGCCTCTCTCTCTCTCTATGTCTATGAATAAATAATAAATAAAAGCTTTTTAAAAAAATTTGAATTCTGTCCCTTATCAGTTTTGTGATGTTTCTGCACATTATCCAACGTCTTGGCTCCTCGGTATCCTCCAAATCAGAGAAGTCAGCACAGGTCAGGGACTTACGATGTTGGTGCTCAGCTGGAAGTCAAACCTGCTTCCCAATAGGATTTGGTTTCAGATGAAGTACTAGATAAGGAAATTGAGCTAACAAGGTAGGAAGCGCGAGAGATTTGAATGCCACAGCTGTGGCCCGGAACATAATGTGTCCCGCTCTGTGTCCTAAGGTTATTTGGAATGGAGCTGAATAAGATGACCCACAGGAGACTGGCAGCGCTTCGAGTAGTGAAACCTCAGCTGGACATCGGTTGCTGAATGGTTCTAGCCGCCGGCTCTTCTCTTGGAGTCAGGACAGAGGAAGGGGAAATCCCAGGACCCTCTGGCCAGCGTGATGATCAGGCTCTTTTATCTCCTCCAAACTCCCATGCAGGATAAATCCAGAGCTTCAGGACTTTGTCAACGAGTGGTCAAGTGTGGAGCATTAGTGTTGGGAAGGCGAGTGTCATGGAGAGAACTTAAGGGGGGGCTCTGGGTGATCCTTGAGCAGGGATTCTCAAAGGAGGGTGGACTTGCACTTCTCTCCCTCCCTGCGACACGTGGTGGTGTCAGGAGACATTGGGGTGGTGGTGGTGGAGCTGCCCACTCCAGTGGTGGAGGCCAAAGAGTCTCCTAAATATCTGAGCAATGCACAAAACAGCTCTCCTGCAGCAGTGATTAGCTTCAATGACATTTGAGGCTGGATTGAGGAACCTTGTTCTCAAGGACCAGTGGTGCTATGAGAGTGCTAGGCCATCTTGTGTGCCTTAGGATACTGGTCATGCCAAGGGCCCCACCCCATGCCCTTGCAGTCTCATTTTGCATGTGGTTCTACCCCCTGGCTGGAGGCAGGTGCACCGTGGATGGACCTCTTGCCAGGGTTAGTGGACTGCAGGCTGGCCAATAACCTGTGTCATACTTTGGACTTGAACCGATTTTTTTTTTTAAGATTTTATTTATTCATGAGAGACACACACAGAGGCAGAGACACAGGCAGAGGGAGAAGCAGGTTCCATGAAGGGAGCCTGATCTGGGACTCCAGGATCACGCCCTGGACCGAAGGCGGTGCTAAACCTCTGAGCCATCCCGGCTGCCCTCAAACCCAGATTTTTAACCCAGTTGGGAGATTGCAACCAGGGAACCTCAGCCCCAGCCAGTGATTGGCTAGAAACCTGAGGCCACTGTGAGCATGCCCTACTGAAGCCATTGGGCGCAGATGTCTGGAAAGACCAGAACTTCCTAGGAAGCAGAGGCCATTTGTAGAGGAAAAGGTGACCCTGCCACCCATGGAATTCTGGGAAAGGAAATAAATTCGATTCTGCAGAAGATATGCCTGTGGGCAGCAATAAAGGTCCCTCCAATAGCGACAGCACACTGGACTCCTTGAAACCAAGCCCTTCGTTACGGGGCCCTTGGCAGCTGTCAGACCTGTGTGCCACCTGCTTGTGAAGCAGTGCCTCGCGACCTAGGCCCTCCGCTGGAGCTGGGGAGACGTGGCTGACAAGGAAAGCCAATAAGGCCTGTGGGCACGTCTTACTACAGTGTAAGGAAGCCTTCCTAGAGTTGGGGGGAGGTGTTCCTGGTCTAATAAGGCTAAGGGGTGGGTGGGGTCGTTCCCCCAGCCGGACCGCTCATTTTGGGTAGTGCATTGCAGTGCGTTTGTGGAGACGGAGACTGCTCTCAGGACCAGTGAGGCTTGTTCTGAGGTCATGAACAGCCATTCCCAATAAAACCTCTTAAAAACCAGTAGCCAAGGCAGCCCCCATGGGTCAGCGGTTCAGCGCCACCTGCAGCCCGGGGTGTTCCTGGAGACCCGGGACCGAGTCCCACATCGGGCTCCCTGCATGGAGCCTGCTTTTTCCCCTTTGCCTGGGTCTGTCTATAAATGAAATCTTAAAAGAACCAGTAGCCAGATTAGTGATTACCTTCCCACAAGTTGACAGGGATGGAGATGAACTGCACCCATGTCAAATAGCAACGCCTAGACATCCCTCAGAGCAGCCAGTTGTTAGGCCCGGGCCTGACACCACCCCCCATCCTGCTTAGAGCTTTGCCTCGAGCAAATCTGAGGACTGGGGTTTATGGACAATTTACAGACTCTCAAAACCTGGTTTACATTGCAGCTCTGCTTCCAGGAATTCCTTGGGGAAGGGGGAGCTAGAAAACTCAGCACTGTGTCCCCTTATCAAGGTGGCAACTACAGGCCACTTGGACGAATTTGCTTCCCAGGCTTCAAGTGGAAGCAGACCACCCAGGCCTTCGGTCTCTCCGAGCCGCCCTCCGAGGGCCCGTTCATAATTTTAAGACAGGGACACCTGGGAGGCTCGGAGTCGTCCCAGAATTGAATCCCACACCGGGCTCCCTGCATGGAGCCTGCTTCCCCCTCTACCCGCGTTATGTAGCCCTCTACCCGCGTTATGTAGAAGTAAAATCTTTAAGGCAAGTTACAGTCAAACACAAAATCACAGCTGGTTCGTATTTTATTGGACTGGATTTCAGGGCTTCTGTGATGTAAACCTAACAAAGGACTAAATGTTTAGTAGTCGAGGGGATGAAGCCACCCACAAATCTGGGTAAACTTAAAGGTAATTGGAATCAGGGAAAAGTCTAAAGGGAAGGCCTTATTTCCTTGTTTCCTAACAGTTCTAAAGGATTTTAATGATCAGTTTCATGGAAAAATTCGAAGTGTCCAGATGTCCTTTAGGCAGGAGAAACAGGCAGGACCGGAGGACGTAGGCAGTAGGGGCAGACAGTCTGCAGCACGGACAGCTGGGCTGGAGAAGCTGCTTTCCCGTTGGTCCGTGGGAGAAGGATGCTTTCCTCAGACAAGGACACACAAAGTGGGAGCACTTTCCAGACAGATCGGGAAGTGCCCTCATTTTGTGTATCCCAATCTGAGCTGAATCTGCTCCTGGAGAAACGGGGACCCGGCACTACACCTCTAAACACAAGTTAACAGGAGTGGCCACGAGATCACAGGTGGTATGGATTTTCCACTGCCCATTGGCAAAGGTTCAGACATTTCTGGAGTCCCGAGGCTCCATTTCCCCCACGGATAAGGGTCTCAGACGTGGACACAAGAAAAACCCGAAGAACATCCTGACCAGAGCAGGATCTGGGTTCCTTGGACAGTGCCCACCAGCAACACCCAAATATTGTAGCACTTTTCACCAAGTAAACCTGAAGAGTGCTTCCACATTTGAGTACCACGGGGGAGCTTTGCCCAGAGGTGGTTTGGAAAGGGCTCAGTAGAACCGAAGAACCGAGGACAGGGCTCAGGGAGAAAGGAAGAACCCACTCCCATGATTTCACGTAGACCTTCTTAGCCGGGGACACTCAAAAAATGGCGGCACTTTCCTACCTAGAACAGAAAGTGCCCCCACAGTTTGAGTGGCACAGGCCAAGTATCCAGGATTCACCAGCTGGACCTCTTACCAGGTGGAGAACTTGCAGTGCGCGAGGACTAGTGGACTAGAAGCTGCCTTGCCTCCTAGGAGTAAGGGAGATGTAAGGGCCAGAAGTCAAGTAAGATCATTTAACAGGTTACCCCATAAGACCCAGTGCTCAACCACCACTCCAGACTATAGACCACAACACTTAAGGTTTGTCCACGTGGAGCTTAGAGCTCAACCTTGGGCCGATTACCATGTTTAACCCAACTTTCTTTGCCCTAGACACCGAGGCATGGGAGATTGGAAGACCAGTTTTGGGGGAGCCCAAAGGCTGCAGAAAACCTGCAAGGCTTCCCACTCGGGCCATCCCAAACATTCCAAAAAGAGCCCTGTACAAATCTGCAAAGGAGAACCCCAGGCGGGTGAGAGTTTGAGGTGGGGAGAGACTGTGAAAAGGAGTAGGGAATGGGAATATCACCAACCACCACCACCACCTCAGGAATGCAGGCAACAAGCATAAGGGGGCAGGAAAAAGGAAGGCCATACTTACAAAAGAGAAGGTGAGCACGCGGCTTCCCGAGACAGGCAGCAATGCTGGCGCTTATATAAGCTGAAGGCCCACTCGGCCCAGACTCCACCTGAGGACCCCTCCTCTCCTCCCCTTCTCCGCCCAGACCCACCTGAGTGCCTCCGATTGGAGCTGGGCCGGCTCAGACACTCCCTTAACCTATTTTGGAAGCAGTTTACTCTTTTGTTTGATGTCTCTCCTGGGGAAAGGCTGATGAGTTCCCAGGGGAAAGTAATTCCATCTCCTGGGGTGGGATCAGTTATTCATTCAACAAACAGTTTAGTATAATGTATTTTTTTAACTTAGGAGGTTTACCAGGCGCTTTCCTTGCTCCAGGGATGGGAGGCATGAATAAGACCATGGGTTTTATCGTCTAGAACAGTGGTTTTCTTTTTTTTTCTTTCTTTTTTTTTTTTTAGAACAGTGGTTTTCGACCAGAGATGGATTTTTCCTTTTTTCTCCCCAGAGGACAATTGGCAACACCTGGAGAGCTTTTTGTTGGTCACAACTGGGTCATGGGGGCAGAGTTCCCCCAGCATTTAGTCCATGGGGGCCAGGACTGCTGGTAAGCCTCTTCCAATGCAGGCAGACCCTCTCGATGAAGGGTCCCTGGCCCAAAATGTGAGTAGCATCAGAGATGAGGACCTGATGGAGCACCAGGGTGATCAGTAGGGGGGAAAAAAGCCCCTTCCCCCACAAGTACATACACATGTAGTTACTGTCAAATGGTTTCATGTCAATGTTGCAGCATATTAACATAAATGTTGATGCTGGGAGCACACCTCTGTGTTCCTTAAATTTGATAGTTTGTTACCAAGTATTTAAAACATGTTAAGAACTGCCTGGCTGGCTCAGTCTGGGGAACAGATGACTCTTGATCTTGGGGTTGTGTGTCTGAGCTCCGCGTTGGGTGTAGAGATTGCTTACATATAAAAATTTTTTATTTATTTATTTTTTAATTTTTTAAATCTTAAAAATAAAATGTGTTTTAACAACCATACATTTGATACCTTTAAAAAGTGTGCACTGTTTTACTTCATTCATGCATCTTGCTGAGGTCTGAGGCTTTATCCAATTCTCTCCATGGCAATTCTTGGATGTATACCTGAAGTCCATAGGACCTGCTAAGGGAGATTAAGGGCAATTAAAATATATAAACAAAATAACAGATAAATAGATAAAATCTGTTTTAAAGGCTGAAGGGCAATAGAGAATCCTTTTATCATAATTTCATTAATCCCCTGGAACGCCTGGGTGGCTCATTGGTTAAGCATATGCCTTTGGCTTTGGTCCTGATCCTGGAGTCCCCGGATGGATTCCCACATCAGGCTCCCTACAATGGATCCTGCTTCTCTGTCCGTCTATGTCTCTGCCTCCCTCTCTCTTTGTCTCCCATGAATAAATAAATAAAATCTTCAAATAATTTCGTTAATCCCCTACTGTCAGACATTTTTTATTTTTTTAAAAAAGATTTTATTTATTCATGAGAGACACAGAAAGAGAGAGAGGCAGAGACACAGGCAGAGGGAGAAGCAGGCTCCATGCAGGGAGCCTGATGTGGGACTCGATCCCTGGTCTCCAGGATCACACCCTGGGCTGAAGGCAGGCGCTAAACCGCTGAGCCACCCGGGCTGCCCCATTTTCGATTTTTTAAAATGTAGGATAATTTTATAAAAGTAGGCTGTGCACCCAGTATGAGACTTGAACTCTGACCCCGAGATCAAGAGTCAAATGCTCTACCAACTGAGTCCAGTCAGGCACCCCCAAATTTTAGGATGATTTAAGAAATTGATTAGAATTTAATTAATTTAATTGATTGAATTGAATGATTTAAGAAATCATCCTAAACATTTGTGAGAGCAGCTCTAACAAGACCGCGGGCATTTCTGATGCCTTCCAGAAATCTGTGTTAATCCTCCAAATGCTGTGGGCAGCGAGCAGACAGGAAGCGACAACAGGTAGCGACAACAGTGATGCAGGGATTTGCCCTGGAAAATAAGAGTCGGGGAGAAGTAAGGTTTAGAAGTCTGGGTTTGGTCCTCGTCAGGTTGTTAGAGGGCAGTGCATAGGACCTGGCACCTGCCCCAGATCTAGATCTAAAAGGGTGCACTCCCCCTGCTGCCACACCTGGATGCTGGGATCTTCAGGTGTTTCTCTAAACTCAGCAAGCTCTTTCCCATCACCTCACGTTGCCTTTACAATTTTCTGGGCCAGTGGCAGCTTTCTCCTCCTGCCTCTGACCCCCATATGCCTTTCTTCTCCTACTGCCTTGTCCAGGGGACTCCACCCCGAGTGCTGCATAGATAGCTATTCACCCATCCTCTCTCCATCCCCAAATCAGTCCTGGGTCTGGCACATGGTAAAGATGCAGCAAGTATTTCTGCCCCCTCCCTGGGTAATAAAGGTTGTTAATGCAATTGAATTTAAGGAACATTAAACAAAGACTATCTTCAAAGACGATTTGAAGTAAATCGAGAGTAAAAGACCTGATTTGATATTTTCCCAGTGATTTGTGATGTTGGTGGTGAGACAGTGCAAGAGAATGCACCCCTCATGCCTTCCTCTGATTTGAGTCCTACATTGGGCTCCCTGCATGGAGCCTGCTTCTCCCTCTGCCTGTGTCTGCGTCTCTCTCTCTCTTTCTGTGTCTCTCATGAATAAATAAATAAAATCTTTTTTAAAAAATCAAAAATGCTTGGTCTAACCCCTTGCTAGTTTGGCCATTTAACATGTCTGTTTAAAGTCTCAATTAATTATCATTGTTAGCTAGTTTTCCCGCAGTGTTTTGCTTTTCTGGTTTTATTGACTCGAAGTCTCAAATCAATATTCTAAAAATTTTGGGATGTGTATGTTT